ACAAATTAGGTTGTGTAGTGACTTTTTTGACAATTCAAAACTATTTGCAAAATATTTTTTTTAACATATAAAACAAATTTTATTTTAATATAGTAAAATACCTAGAATTGAGTATAAATATGAAATTAAAGATTAAAAGATAAAAAATCAGTAACAATTTAAATTTTTACAAATATGAAATTTTTAACATTTAATAGCAATCATTTTTTTGTAAATCTGAATAAATTTAATAGCCTTTTAATAATACTAATAGTATGAAATTATCATAGTAAAAATTTATTAAAATAAGTAAAAATTTATTAAAAATAATATAATTAAAATTCAAATAATTTATAACTAGATACATCAAATATTGGCTAAAAATAATTATAAAAAAAACAAGAATTTCTAAAGTTTAAAATTTTCACATTCTGTGATTATTTGGCTTATTTTAAACACAAAATCTAGAACATCTTACGATTCCTAGTGATAAAGAAAAGCATTAATTTAAAGTAAAATTGTAATACCACAACTTAGAATTTTGTTTTGGTGAAAATGATTTTCAAAAGCCTAAGTTTTAAAGGCTAAAACTTGACAAATTAACACAAACAACATAGATTTTTTGGATTTTTTGATTCATGAAACTTACTTTGGGGCTTCGATACTCTTAGCCCATAATCATATGAGTAAACTAATTATATCACTAGAAAGTTCACATTTCATACTATCAAAAGCACCTAAAGTTTGATCAAATCAACTGTCGAAATCGGAGTAAAAAGTTTCAGCGGCTCAAAGTTAGACGTCTGTAATTACGAAAAACTCAAAAAATTGAAATTTGAAGCATTAAATTCTCCTAAATTACTTAACTAAATGAAGTGACACACATACCATTAGAAAGATCTTGAAGAGACATTTCCATTATGACCTACAATTTCACGAATTATCACTAGAAAGTCACCAAAAATATTTTTTAAATAAAAAAGATATAAAAATATAAGTTGAGATTCATAGAAAATTGCATAAAACATGAAAATTTCAAGGATTTTAGGTAAAATCATAACTTAATCAATTATTTATAGGATTGATTTGCCCTATCTTTTCCTCTCTTTTTTTTCTCGAGTGTTTCTTAAAATTTTCCTTTTTTTTCTTTTAGAGAAACTATCGAAGGAAAACTGACAAAGTTTTTCTTCTGTTTTTTTTTAAACATATAAGCTAGGTCAACTAATTAAAGTATGAAATTGGGCTTGGTATTACATAACAATACTTTTTTACATACCACAAATGAGACAAAATTTATATAAAATTTTATAAGTGAAATTTTTTTATTAAAAATGAGTAAATAAAAAATTTAATTCGATAAAGTGATAGAGTTTAATGTGAAAATTAATAATATATAAAAAATTTATTAAAAATATTATTTATAATTCAAATTTGATCATACTTATTCAACAATAAAAATTATATTAATTTTTTTACTAAAAATATATATTTATAATATATTAAATTTTATTAAAATATTTTTAAATTTTATATACTCAATCTGTACAATAAAATCTTTTAATCTATTAATTTTAATTTTTTATTTTAGTTTCTATCTATTGATTTCTAATAAACAATTTTTAAAAAATTACCTATAAAACTTTATTTAAGTCTTTTTCCTGCTGGTTGCAGTTGTCACGGAAACAACTTTTTGACCAAGTCAACTTTCATATACTGTTCAAGTCGTTGATGGTGCAAAACCTACGTGACGTTTGGGATATAAATTACAAACTGTGAAAGCAAAACTGCATGGAAATTTCCATAAATAAAGAAACAGAAATCCACACCTTTTCATTTCCACATCCTAATCTTTTGCCGGAAACTTCCTGTAGCTTTCAATGGAATTTCGTTGCTTCAAATAAATTCTTTGAAAAAATCAAGTTTGCATATGCAAGGTTGCGTACGATTATAACAGGTAACAGATAGTGATGGAAAGCATGGTCAGTGAAGCAATCCAATTGTTTCATTGAGAGAATTACTTGGAAACTTCGCTGGACTTTAATTTATTAGTACCTTTTGTGTGGAAAATCCTGGAAAACATTTCCCCATGTTCTCATTTAGATTTTAAATTTCTATGAGATCATGCATATATGCAAATGTCCTACCTGCGTATCCTTTGTTTTTTTATTGAAGAAATTTAAGTCGACTCCTTCTTTGATAAGGGTTTTGCTCAGTTAATCCTTTTATATATAAATGAACGACCAAGATAACCCAGATTCCCCTCAATGGATAAGGTGGTAACCAAAAATCTCCTCAATTCCCTTTGACTCCTTCTCTGACATGAAAATCTCCAATTTCGTGCTCTTGTTTCGAACCTGCCTGCTTACTCCTTTCTTTTCCATACTGAAAATTTGGAAAATACCTCCAAGGTTAGACATGAAAATGATCGATTCCATTTGCGACAATGAAAAACTAAGCAAAGGAGACATAAAGGTGGTGATGGACAGACTAGGGATAAGTTACGAGCTAGACAGCAACAAGCTGGTGGGAGATAGTATGGGAGCAGATGAGTTTGGTGAAACGTTCGATGAGGAAGAGCCTAGCTTGGCGGAGATTAAGGAAGCTTTCGACGTTTTTGATGAGAACAAAGACGGATTCATTGATGCAACAGAGTTGCAAAGAGTGCTATGTTGCTTAGGCATAAAGGAACAAGTGGAGGAGTGTAAGAGGATGATAAGGGTAGCTGATGAAAATGAAGATGGAAGAATCGATTTCGATGAGTTTTTGAAATTTATGGAGACTTGCTTTTGTTGAATGTTGAAACTTCAGTACTAATGGTTAATTTTCTAACATGCAACTGCCCTTTTTTTAGGCTCTGTTTTCTTTTTTCCTTTATAAGACCTTATTAGTTGATAAATTTGTAGTTGATAGTTGAAGCAATTAAGGATTAAATTTTGATTATTACAATTAAGAGTTAAATATTCTATCGATAGACTATTTGGCATAATTTCATACATTGAATAACATGATGTTTAATCTTTATTTATTAAAATTAATAATTTTATATTTTATATTAACGATGAGAACGAATCACATGAATTATGACATTAAATAATTTATCTTGGCAAGAGTTAAAATTTTGTTCTTCCATTAATTTACAATATGATTTCTTTAAACATATTGAATTACTTGTGTATTTAGTATTAGCTTAGCATTTATTAAAAAAAAATAGTATTATCTTGGCTTCCTCGTTAATATTAATTCCATACTTGAATAATAGGGTTTGTTCCATGAATTTAAGGTTTGGATCTAAATTGAATTACTTGAAGCCCAAATGGTGGCCTAATACTATACAAAAGAAAAAAAAGGAAAAACAAGTGATTATTGGGCTGAGCATAACACAGCCTAGCCCTGAATCCAATGCTATGTTATCCTGGGAACTTTTGGTTTCACTAATTGAAGCAAAAGCAATTCAGTGAACTAAAGACAGTTCCAAAACAGCTTAGATATTCCCAAGTGGATGGCATGAATCCTAAGCAAGATTCCGCTGATGATACAAGGGAAATGAAGAAACGTGGGGAGGTTGTTCTGTTGCATAATTTGTGCCTGAATTTTGTAGTTCCATGAGAAAATGGCCGTCTTTACTTAATAGTTTCTCTTGCTCCTTTTGTCTTTCTTTGCCTTACCATCATCATATGTTTTACTTCCACCATCATATATGATTCTTCATATCTACCAATTTATTTTTCTTTATTTTTTCTTATGATTTTATCCGCAAAAGAATCAGCTAAAGAAGGAATCACTGAATTGATTTTTTTGAACTTCATATTATTCAAACCGTAGTTTTAAAATGTATTTGTATGCGGAAAAGATGACTTAATATTTAGATGATTCCTGTTTGTTTGGTTACTTTGTCCTGACCAGCTGGGGTTTCATCTGTCTGATTTCCCTGTCTTTTCCTCTTTACTTTCCACTTTCATAATTCCACTCAGACTCTTTAACTTATTGTCTTTAACTTTGTTCACGTAGATATTTATCAATATATAAATATAATATGAAAATCTGGGTCGGGAATGTCCATTTCAGCACTCACTTTTGGCTCCTGGTCATGGCCATGGAGAGTTGGGAGTATATATAGTTTTTAAAGAGAAGAGAAAAGGGAAAAATAATAGAAAAGGCAGCATGCTTATTGGTGACAATAATTATAACTTAATTTTTTTGTTTCAATTCACTTTTGGAATAAGTCTCAGGCACTCGGGAGAGAAAGGAGTTAACAACAAAAAGATGCCGGGGATATGATTTGGACAGACAGACTGATGCAGAGGTTATCTGCTGTCAACCATCTGAAAAAACAATTCCTTTCTCTTAACCTCTAATGGCCTCTCAGTTTATCTTGGAGCACTTCCACGTTGAGGTGGAAACCTTTTCAGGCCTTTTGGGGGGGAGGGTATTCTTAACTTCATGTGGCTCCTACACCAAGAAAGTCGATGAATGGTGGTGGAACGGTCTCATAGTGGTTGTCGCTGGTGGCTGCTCTGCTCCCTGCCACTGCTGACGAAGGTTCACTGGCCGAAACTTGAGGGGTTGATGCTGTGGAATCTGTGAGACTTTGGTAGCTAAGGAACTCTGATTGTTGCATTGCCATCATATATGAAGGGTGCTGCAGGGGATAGAAACCAGAGATTTGAGGTTCATCAATGGGCCTAGCCCATGATCTGGTCTGGCTGAACATGCCCATCATGTCATTGCTCCTAAGACCTGTTTTGAAGTGTTACGACAAGTTACAAAGTAGACAACTAGAAAATTAACAAAAGACAAAACGTTAATGTAATGTAAAGTAGAAAAAAGGCAAAGCAAAACGGTTCATCAGTCAATGTCTATAAAGCAAAAGAATAAATGAACAGAAATCATCAAATTTGGTTCGACTTATAAGGAAAGAAAGCAAATCACGAAAGAGTTGCAGTAAAAAATTCAATGTAGGTTTCCAAAAAGGAAACCAATGAGAAACAGCACAGAAACCCAAAAACACAAAGCTTCATAAACATAAAAGAAGCTTGTAGGAGGTGAAAAGGAGTAGGGAGATTACAAAGAAGACACACCAGGGAAGAAATCAAAAGGTGCCTGTTGTGCATAAAACACATTGTAAGGGAACTCGCCGCTTGAGATTGCTTGTCTCCCGTTAGTCAGGTGGGGTGAAACATTTGAGCCACCATGAACCCCACCATCAGCATCGTTTAAGGTTCCAAACTGAGATTGGGAGATTATGCCAAATCTTCTATTGGGAATATTGAGACAGTATAGGGGTGGTTCTGCTTTTGCGGCTGCATCTCTGCAGACAAACTTTGGAGTTTCTTCCATCCTTCTATAAACAGATTGATTCAGCTGTCGCCTCCTATAGGCAGTCGATTGTTCTCTATACTTCCTAGCCATAATGACATGCCAATGGTTCTTGACTGCATTATCAGTTCTTCCAGGGAACAGCCTAGCTATCATTGCCCACTTGTTACCGTAAAGTCTATGAGCTTGCATTAATCTCTCTTCTTCTTCTTCACTAAAAGCTCTTCTATTGATCCTAGGGTCCAGTTGATTAAACCATCTTAGCCGGCAGCTCTTTCCTTCAAACCCAAGAGACAAGAATCAGAATGAGTGAAACCTTAGCTTAGCACTGTGATTCTGCCACGAAAAGAGTTGGAACAACCAAACGGAAAGTGGGGAAATTTTTTAAAGAAATAAAGAACGAAAATAACACTGCTTTGGCCTTTTTGGCCACCATCTTACCTGATCTTCCTTCCAACTTCTCTGCTATAAGATTCCAGTTCTGAGGGCCATAAAGAGCAACAAGTTCCTTGAGCTTAGTATCTTCTGCAGGCCTCCAGTGGCCTCTGGCACAAAGCTTTGACTGCCCACTAGCTGTTTCCTTGCCACTTACCGCATTCTCACTGGGGTTCTCTTCATTTAAGTCGGCATTGAGATTAATGGTCCTATTATTATCTCCAAACCCATCACTGCAATCAGAGCCCTTACCCTCCACAACATCAGAGCTGTGGTTTTCCTCAAAGCTCAATGTTTTGCAGTTTCCCATGAAACGAAAACCCCAAGAAGCTCTTTCATTTTCCATTTCTGAGCCCTTGCAAGCATAAGTATCCTGTGAGGAAGAAACACTTGAGCCTACAATACCATAGTTGGGACCAAGAGAAAGAGAGCCCATGTCTGGATAAACCATCCCCATCGAGGAACCACGAGAAGAAAAGGGTGTTGAAGAGTTACAGCCCAGCCTATTCAATATTCATGTTGTCTGGTGCATATTTAACACACTTGTTAGCCATGCCTTCGTTTCCTCTGACAAACACAGTTTATACATCTGTTACAAAGTCACCTCCATCCGCAGATAAACTTTAAACTGATACTATGAGAACAAAAAGGAAAGCCAAAAAAGGGTGCGATGCATAGGACTCAAACGAGAAGCAAGTTTGACAAACAGTGAAAGAGTGAAAAAAAATGACGTTATGCTATGACTGGGAAAGATTAAAACTTGAAACAGCAAAAACGGCTTATATGGTGCGTTATAAGACACCTATAAGGCTGGGTTCCATCTGTTTTACTTGAATCCTTCGTAGAAAGGAACTAAAAAAAGCGCTCAAAGTAGTTAACCACCTCAGTTCCGATCATTAAAAAGTTGTCATTGTTTGCTTCTCTTCTTTTCAACAAATCCAACATCATTCACACGTGTGCAAGCTCCCTCTTTCTCTAATTTTTTTTCTCTCTCTTTCCCTCTCTGATGGGTATGATGCACTTAGGCTGTCCCTCTCTATATTGACAAGATAGACTCATAATGTGATGTGTGTAAGCTTGGGCAGGTCTTGCTTCCTTTCCTTTCAAAGCAGAAATTGAGAGCTTGCCGCAACTGGCTCTGTCAAACACTAGTAAATAACCTAGACTTCCACCTCTATCAAAGATATCAGTCCCTATACATTTTTTTTAACCTGCCTCTTCCCTGTTTTAACTTGAGGATTGGGTTTAAACTGGGTTTCCGTTAACCACCTGAAGTTGACCCAACAACCAAATCCCCAACCAAGAACTTACCGGATACATGTCCCTTCCATCCCAACTAATTATAACAGTACGAAAAGGCCATTGCCTTAACGTCATCTCAATGACTTCCTAATCCCCAATCCCCCACCTGTTTTTCTTGTCTCTTTCATTTAGGTTTATTTCAGATATCCACTATTAGAAACAAAGATTCTGCTAATTATTTTATACCCAAAAATATATCTGATCTATCACCTAGATATGACTAAAAAATGTCTTGCATATATACATATATTTTGCGTTGGGCATGAGTTGGGATATCTTCAAATTATTTCACCTTTTTTTACATTTTATAAAACTAAAACGTAAACACAAAAAAATAAAGATTGAATTCAAAGCTACCATTTTCCCCTAATCTCTGAAACCCACAAATACTTATATAAATATTTTTTTTTGTTTTCCTGACGTATGCACCTACATGGATACATTTATGTCAATAATGACATGCTTAAAAAAAAAAAGTTAATATCAATTATTTTAAAATTAAACACTTTTTTTTATTTCTTTTTAAATGGAGACGTTTTCCTACGCAATTATCAATAGTGCTGCTGCCGTCAGCTTCTGTCATGCCTGTTGAAAATGTAAGAGATGAAAAAGAAAAGAATCCAGCTTCCATGTTCAAACTCAGTTTTTTACCATTAATAGTTCAAAGGGTGACTTTGTGGAACCTATAAATAGGAAACAACTTTTTTGATAGTTTCTGATTTACTTCAAAGATGATGATGAGTCAGATGAGTGACTGAAGTAACATCTCAAATAGTAAAATCTTGGGTACATTCAAATGAAAATCTCAATTAAACCAGTCAAAAGCATGAGCATATTTCTAAGTAAGGAATGTCCTTAACCTTTATCTTGAAAATTTGCGAAAAGATTGCGTAATTTTATATGCTAGAAGCCTATAACTAAAATTATATTATATAAATGCATGGATAATGATGGTCCGCTTTTTTCTTTCACTTTTTTTCTCAGTTTTCACTAACTGGTAACCTAATGACAGACGTTACATTTAATGTGCTTACAGGTACTAGCGTTTTTGATGAAAGGAATTGGACAGTCTTTGGTCAAAAACTTTGAAACAAAGACCGACTTTGTTTGGGAACAAAAAGCGGATAAACCCTAAAAATAGATATAAAAGAAAAGGTCTGTCTCAGTGAAGAGAGGTTAGAGTTAGACCCTCCATTTTTGCAGATTTCTTCTTAGCTAAGTTATAATTTGTAACTCTTATACCAGGGTCCGGGCCATCAGGTCCCAGACCAAGGAGGCATATTGGTGTGCGGTGTCCCTTACTCTGTGATTTCCTTGCCCCTCCTCCTTGGAGGCTAACTGCACTGCTCATTAATGATGGGGTTGTCATGATGGCATCAGACCTTGGGAACAGTAAGACAATTTTATTTTTATCATATGAATCAAAGTAATTAACGTCACTATATATTATAGTACTATGAATTTAAATACTAATAAACTTTTTTTTTTTGTTTTCAGTAAATGAAGATATAAAGAAAGTTCTTTCATACTTATATAATGTCACTTAGCTTTCAGCAACAACAAATGGAGAATGTAAACTTGTTAACCCTGTATTGCAGTTTTAAAAATTGATTGTATTTACTTAGAAAAAATTTACTTGAATATTAAATATACAAAATATTTTACCTCATCAAGGTTCCATACAAAACATATAACCTGCTGGCTCATTGAGTTACAGCATTGGCAAGAATGAAAAACAATGCAAAAACATTCAAAATTATAGGCAAGGAAATATCAAGTGTTAGTTGTGAGTTGTGACATGTGAGACAAGTTCAAAGGTAATTTGGGTCTTTAGAGGAAGAAGGCAATGGAGCCCCTTATTACCAAAAGAAGCAGAAAAGAAAAAAAGGACATTGTTGTTATATGTTCAGGTAAAACGAAAGGACAAATTGTGAATCACTCAGTCTACAACTTTTCGGACATCATCATACATTGTAAAACAGTAGCAGGTAAAATTTTTTTGTAGTGTATTTGGAGAATATATTGCTATCATCACCGTGCATAAAATATCAGCATCTCTGGGATAAGATCTTTGTCCAAAATCAAAGCACGACACTGAGCTTTCTTGTTTTCTTCTTCTACTTTCTTTTCTGCAAATTTGCACGTGCGGTCCCTTATTTGCAGGTGTGAAAAGCCATGCATGGATCTCTTACAAAGCAGAAAGAGGGTTTTAATGTGAACTGGCAAAGTCACAAACATTAAACATAGGACGCTTCATTTTGCCTTTGTTCTTTTGTCTTGGTGTTGTGATGTCACACGCGTTGGATAATAGTGATAAACAAAAATTAAACAATTTTCACTAGTTGTAGTTAGTATATTTTTAACACTGCATGCCTTTTCCAACCACTGGAAAGCAAGGACAAATGACAATGAAGATTGTTCAAATATAGCACCATAAACAGACAAGGATTGATTAATTGCAGCCGGCAGAAGGAATAGGTTGATTTAGAATTGATGGGATATTTTAAACCTTTGCTTTTTTATTTTCTTTGCTCCCCCTTCCACGCAAACAGTTTACAAATGAAACAGAGGTGTTTGTCACATGATGTGAAACTTTTGATGGATATGTTGTTGAATTACCGAACCAAGAAGCAAAACTGTTGGATAAAGCGGTTGGGGGCAATGTGTGGTAAGCCTAAAGTAGTCTTGGTAAGAGAAGGGTTTTTTGTAAAGAAGGGGATGGGCTCCCACAACATCCCAAGCACATGTGCTTCAGTTGGTTAATACCGAACATGAATTGAAGAAACCTGCTTTTGGAATGAGCCATGTAAGATTGTGGGTAATCAATAATTTTTTCTGCCGGAGGAAGCCACCCACAGAGTATGAAAAGAAAGGAGATATGGATTACCCACCATACAAATAGCGGGGCTGATCCATAAGATTCTTTTGGGGTTGTTCCCTTGGAACCATATGAAAAGCAACCACGAAGGTGAACTGTTCCTCAAGGGATTCCCCATAGCCCCCAAGAACAAGACAAATCTAACCAGTAGAAATGAGATTGCAATTTGCAAAGGCAAAGCATAAAGTTATATGGAAGTCAGTTAACTTTGCCTGAGGGCTCAACAGCAGTTAGAGCACCTTAGGATCCTTTGCCCTTACTATGTGAACTCTGAGAGATCATGTGACTTCATTTAATGGATTAACTTTGGGGGAGTTTCTGCAACAACTTACTTTCTAGGTAGAGAAAGTAAAAATCCTACTAATTAAACAAGATTTTGCCACCATAATCCAACCAGGATAAAAAGGAAAATCCTCAGGATTCATGACGAGACTATGTAAGATGGTTTTGGAGACAATTTCCAAGACCAAGCAAGGACCTAAGTTAGTCTAGGATAGCTGTTACCTTCTTAAGACCCGCTTCTTAAAGATGAGCGACGGATGCCTGCACCATACATTAATGCTTCTCTCTGTCTGACCGCACAAGGGATCAGAGCACGAATTGTACCTTAGAAGAGTTGAAATGGCAAAAAAGAAAAACATACCAAATATTGGTTTCGTATCTTCTTTTGCATTAGCTCCAGCCAATGGTCAAATATGTGCTTTGGTCACAACATTTCTTCGTCCATGATTGTTGGCAAGAATTGCAGTAAAACCTAAAGTCTGCATAATATTATTAGCTCGCTTTGATGTGAAAGATGTTCACATGTTCATCTAGTAGGATACTTACAAATTAAGACTACAAATAAACATTTATCAAATACTGTATTGAAACAGTGTAGTAAAATTGTACAAGTAATAAAGTTACATAACCAAACACCAATAAAGTAGTAACAAGCTGAAGTCCGCAGGCATATGAGTGGGTGGGAAGGGGGTTAAATGGGGTTTTCATAGACTGAAGTCTGTGAATTACCCAAAACAAGGAGAGGGATGTCATGGACTAGTGATGCTTTAAAGGGCGAGGAGAGTTAGACCGTCCTAGGCTTTAACGGTCAGTAGCAATTCTGAAACAGAAGGATCAGAAACCAAGGAGAGCTTTAAAAAGATATGACCTCATTGAGTCACTGTCAAAATTAATACTACATATAGTAAATATAGGTTTGTTTTCCTGACGCTTTATGTAAACAGGTCATAGCAGATGGATGGTATACGAAGGAAAGAGAAGGTTTTTATTTTAAGCACATGAAATAGAAAATCTTTTGACAGAAAGTGAGATAGACCCACCCGGGCAGCAAGTCACCACTCTCCTCTCTCTTTCCCACTGTCACTCTCCTCGGCGAATGGAGACCTAACTTGAATAGCT